GACACGAGTCCCCATGAGTCTGTGTGTATTCAGGTTTAAGTCCCCACCAGGATATATAAACCTGTACACACACACACATAAAAAAAAATTGGATGTCAGTTTCCATCAGTAATAAAATTTAAATGGGAAACAGTAACAGTGTTATTTCATTACTGTAAAACTAGATTGAAAAAAAATAGATATTCAAGAATAGATTGCTGTGTCTGCTGTGTCTTCTGTTATTTCATTATGGACGCACACCTCGGTGGAACCTATTCATCAGAAAAATAATACTGTCAGATTAAGCTTTTTTTTTAAGTGCAGATTAATCAAGTATGGACAACTTGCAATTTTTTTTTATGTCTCTGACTGTTCATCTTTGACAGAAATATTACATAATATTATAGTGTTTAATAATATAATTTCAGTTTATAGTGAAATCTCTCCACATAGATTACTATAAACAATGTGTTACATCATGATGAAGTCACAATTTCCATTTAGTTTGTGGTGTATTATGACATCTCTTTCTTTCTCTTTCTCTGTCAGGTCTTCCAGAAAGTTCCTTCATCTGTGACCGTGAGCTCTCTGAGCCTCTGCGCCTGGCCTTGATGAGGTAAAACAATTTCACTTGTATCTCTGACATACAATACAACAAAGGTAATGTTAACGCACACAATAACAATATAGTGTGAAAAAAAAAAAAGTGTTTATCAAATAATAAAATGCAGTGATCTTTTATAGAAATCCCAAAAGTGCCTTAATATAAAGCGCATTAATATTTCTTAGGACAATAATACGTTTTTATTTTATTTTTTATAACATTGACTCAGTACTTTACACTATATCTGACGTCTACCTCACAGTGAGGCTAGTGCTTCCTGAAGTGCTGTATGAAATATTTTTCTCACTTTACACCCGACTAAAAGTAAGTGTAAATTCACCTTCCCATAGGCCGAACTCTCAGTGCTGGGGTGATGGATTTCTGAAAGCCCAGCTGAAGCACAATCCATCTTTCTCCAGGCTCAGTGTGTACTCTAGTCTAGTAGGACTACACCAATGTCATCTCGAGCACCTCGTGCACCTCGCTCTTGGGTAGAGGCTGCTCTCTAAGCTGTCAGGAATTAAGGTGTTTGTGCAGTACATTGCTGAATCATAAAAGTGCTTTTAGTGACCAACGTTCTCCATATTCTCTGTGGCCCGACCAACCATGATTGGTTCAAAGGCACTGTGCCTTCTAGAACAAGACTAAAAGTCAGAGATCTTGTGTCCTCTGTGTTGGGTTAAAATGCAGATATAAAAAAAGTTTGAGAACATTTATATTTTTAGGCTTTTTCTGAATGGATGAGTCATATTCAAAGCTGCTCTAGAACAGACTATATATGCCCACATAGTGATGTGCAGCGGTTCTTATGTATGCGGGCGTCTATGCAGTATTTCCTGTCTGTTCTTTTACTAATACATTCAATTATAAATGACAAAAAGGCCTAATAAATAAATAAATAAATTGATTAATAAATAAACAAACAGATACATTTTGAATGATCAAATAAATGACACAGTACCACAGAGTAACATTGTTTCCACTTATGTTTCCACCTGGGAATTATTTAGTTATAGTTGTCTCTGCATATTAAGGTGGAATATGATCAATTATTTGACTAGTACAAAAACTTCCACTCTTCACCTTTATAAGATTAACAAGGTAAAGAGTTCACCATGTTGCTCTTGAATCTTTGTGAGGAGGTCTGATGAAGGTTTACCCTTTAGTTTCCCATCCCTTCATATCCAATGTCCATTTAGCACGTTCCCTTTCCTCTATCTCCCTCATACTAATCTGCATAATGAGGATGAGATGTTAATGTCATGCCGCCCTTCCCATAATGCTTTGTGTTCCCATCCCCATTGTCTTTAAGTAGAGCACAGGATCAGGGCTGGCCAGGCTCCAGCCTCACTTAACTTCGCCAGGGAAAAATGAGACGGAGCTGTCGGAGATGACAAGGACAAATCAGCGTTCAATGAAGTGCTTTAAGTGCTGTTGTTTCCAACAGCCATCAGAGCGGCTGTGAATTAGTTGCCCTTTAAAGGCGGCCGAGGAAATGTGCTGGATAAACACTTAGGAATGACAGGACACAGAGAACACAGGAATGAAAAACATGATGATAGGTGTCTTCCATAAACCTGCTTTGTTCTCGCACACACAAAACTGTGGGTTATCGTGACACAATGAAGGCATCTTAGATAGGATGTTACACAAACATTGGGTTTGGACCTGTCTTTCTATCTCATTATACTGACTGAGAATACAGCATTTTAGAGGATTTGGACACTAGGACTGAGACCAGCATAGTGAATGTTGTTCTAGTAAACAGTATATGTGACTTTATTCATATATATGAGAAAACACAAGTGAACAATGAGTAGCCTTTTCATGTAAGCTGAGTGTGAAAGAAGAATGATGCTTGTCTTTAGAACGGAAACTTTTTTTTTTCACATGACTCCGTTTCCAGTGTAATTGTGGGTGTTATTCAATGAGTGTGGTTTTACCATAGGTGTATGACAGGGTGTCCATACTTGGTCCTGGATGGCCACTGTCTTGATGAATTTATCTCCAACTTGCCTCTGCACATCTGCCTAAAAGTTTCTAGAATGCCTAGTAAGACACTGATTAGCTGGTTCAGGTGTGTTTAATTGAGGTTGGAGCTAAACTCTGCAGGATAGTGGCCCTCCAGAAGCAGGAATGGACACCCTTTGTGTATAATGCGTCTTGTAAAACAGTCCTAACTTTAACAATGCTGTTAACATACACATAAAATCAGATGGCAATGATTGCTTTTTAAGAACGATATTGAAGCCCCAGTCTGTTTGTTTGTTTGGATGTTTAGGGCAATGTTGTAGTTTGAAGTCCAAATGCTTCCAATGACAAGACCAAGACTATGAAAAAATGGCCTTGAGTACTACAACACTGGTTTAGAGACTGATAATGATGGTTGTCAATGATATGATCTGGACATTTGGTGCTCCATTCTTGAATGGAACCAGCTGCTGGTTGACATTTAGGAAGTCTTGGTCGGTGTAAAAGGAAAACCTGTTCTGCAAGCTTATTTGGTTCTTCTGATGCATCAATATAAATGCATCATTTTGGAACCTGTATCTTTTAAGGGTGTGGTCATTTTAAAAATTATGCTAACTGACAAATTCAGATAGAAAGTACAGCCCATGGGCTGCCCTGACTCCTTCACTGCACGTGGCAATAGTTCAGACACCAGTGGAGGGACAAAAGGACACAGTAACTGCTGAGGTAGGAGAAAATGACCAAATCCCTGAGAGGACAGTGTTAGCACACACACATCCGTACTCGTGTCAGGGTGTTGTGAGCACAACATCGGCCATAGGGAGGGCCAAGTGAGGCGTGACTGGTGGTTGAGACTGGTCAGTCTCGCTGATGGAGTGTCATCTACCAACGGTGGTGCCAAAAACACTATATATCACACCCGCCACACTTCTGTATTTTTGCAACACCCCTGACTCCCAGCATAACAGCTCTGATAATTTATATATTTGGGGCACTTGTGTACATAAGAATTTAGCCTGTTACTGTATCTGATGAATGGCTGGGTTTCACCAACTACCTCTCAATATGATATCCATGCCAAAATATGTAATATTTAATACATGCTAATTTTATTCAGTATTATATTGTAACTGAAACTAAATCTAGAAATGTGCTGTAGTCAGTTTATCTTGCACATTTTGCTTTACTTTCATTGCTCATGAAAAAAGGCTTAGTCAGAAATGCCAGTTTTGTTTCTCCTTATTTTTACAATCTGCTATTTAATTAATTGGACTGTATGAAATAATATGGATGTGCACACACCCACACCCACAATCAATACAAAATCTAAAATGGCAAAGCAAGATTTTGAGACGTATGCACGAGATTTCTAGTAGTTT